AGTTCAACATTTATTTATTTTTGGGACAGAGAGAGACAGAGCATGAACGGGGGAGGGGCAGAGAGAGAGGGAGACACAGAATCGGAAACAGGCTCCAGGCTTTGAGCCATCAGCCCAGAGCCTGACGCGGGGCTCGAACTCACGGACCGCGAGATCGTGACCTGGCTGAAGTCGGACGCTCAACCGACTGCGCCACCCAGGCGCCCCTAGAAATGACTTTCTTGATTAAAGTTTAGAAGTGTGTATGGGGCCCCTGGGTGGCTCAGTTGGTTAAACATCCGACTTCGGCTCAGGTCATGATCTCAGAGTCCTTGGGTTCAAGCCCTGCGTTGGGCTCTGTGCTGACAGCTCAGAGCCTGGAGCCTGTTTTGGATTCTGTGTCTCCCTCTCTCTCTGCCCCTCTTCAGCTCACACACACACACACTCTCTCTCTCTCTCTCTCAAAAATAAACTTTTTTAAAAAATTTAAAAAAAAGAAATGTGTAAAAGTCATCTATGATTATTTATGTCATTAATGATAATCATATAGTAGGGAGCTTTGGGCTGGTCATTGGTGGAGATCATGGCAGTGAGACTCAGGGCACTTGATTCACTTTACCCTTTCCAGAAAAGCCAGGTGGATTGCAGTCAGGGCAGCTTTTAATGTTTCTCTTCAAAAATTCTAGCTGGTGTGCAGCGCCTGGTCGGCTCATTTGGTTGAGCGTCTGACTTTGGCTCAGGTTGTGATCTTACAGTTCACAAGTTTGAGCCCCGCATCGGGCTGTGTGCTGACAGCTCAGAGCCTGGAGCCTGCTTCGGATTCTGTGTCTCCCTCTCTCTCTGCCCTTCCCTGACTCGTGCTCTGTCTCTTTCTCTCAAAAATAAATAAACATTTTTAAAATTTTTTTTAAAAATAATAAATCCAGTGGGGCTCCAAAGCATGGAATTAGGTCATTATTTCCAGCTCCCATCTCTATGAGCAGCTGACACAACACCCATCCTCAACTCCCGTGGCTGGCTTGTGTGCCAGCTGATTGTCATGGTTTTCCTTTGAGTTTTGGGTCTCTTTGTAGGTAAAACATAACACCCTAATGCATGGCTAGCAGCTACTAGGGGAGCATATAATTATTCCTATGGAAATAGTGAAAATAGATGAACAAATTCCATAAGTATAAATCTTATTTTTATTTAGCATATTGTGAGTATTGTGCTTTTTCTGGTTGTACTCTGGCTGAATTGTACACTGTTTCACTGAGACTATTCTGAGTTTGTGTGTGTCTCCTATTTTCTCGCAAAAGGACATCCATACTCTTGCCTCTGCATATGTTCCCAATAGTAGCAGATTCTTCTCTATTCATTGCATATTTAAAAAGTGTGCAAATAGTACGTGAGGACGAGGTGAGGCTGGTCATCTCTGCCCAAGGGTTGGCTCATTCATCCCGGGCACACACATTTCTGGAGGAATAAAGACAAATTTTGGGGAGGCTTCCATTCCTGCCTCTAACTGTCTTTTCTTCCTCTTGTCTCAACAGGAACTGTTTACCCCTGAATGCAAGTTTAAAGAATCTGTTTTTGAAAACTATTATGTCATCTACTCATCTATGCTGTATAGACAACAGGAATCTGGTAGAGCCTGGTTTTTGGGATTGAATAAGGAAGGGCAAGTCATGAAAGGAAACAGAGTAAAGAAAACCAAACCAGCAGCTCATTTTCTACCCAAGCCATTGGAAGGTGAGTGTTCTGTGTACATTATCCTTCTCAGTTTACCACGCATTTATTTTCCCCATTGCTAACTCTACATTGGCCGCAAGGAACTTCATGGAATGCTGGAGATTTTCTGTACCTGGATCTGGGTGGTAATCACACAGATATCTACTTTAGCCATGAATCTAAGGTTTGTACACTTTACTGTACATATGTGCGTGTATGATGTATATATATACACATACACATAGATCATAAACATAGATATAAATATTTATGGGGTTTATAAAAATATATGCATATAGGGGCGCCTGGGTGGCGCAGTCGGTTAAGCGTCCGACTTCAGCCAGGTCACGATCTCGCGGTCCGTGAGTTCGAGCCCCGCGTCGGGCTCTGGGCTGATGGCTCAGAGCCTGGAGCCTGTTTCCGATTCTGTGTCTCCCTCTCTCTCTCTGCCCCTCCCCCGTTCATGCTCTGTCTCTCTCTGTCCCAAAAATAAATAAACGTTGAAAAAAAAATTAAAAAAAAATATATGCATATATATGTACATATATACATACACAGTTAAGTTTTGAAAATTATGGAATACAAGTATTTGCCCATTTTGATGGTATTTAGCTGAAAGTAATCACATACTTGTGAAATATTGTAATTACAGAAAATGAAGGGTTAATCACTTGGCCTTGAGAGAGTGTCGATATCACAGATCTCCCTTCCAACTATGAAATTGTTTAGTAAACTTTGGTACCACCTTCTTATATATTCACTTGAAAACAATGAAGCCTTGGCATTTACTTTGATCAGATTCACAGAGAGCAGACCACGAAGTGTTGATAATTAATCAGAAGCATCTGTGCCTTTCTTATTAAAGATTCTGCCAAAAGTTCCATTTACCTTATCTACATAATTTTTGAGAACTACAAAAAAAAATTGACATGGAGGCATTTCAAAAGTGTTGTCTATTCAAATACTTTTGCTTACCTTTGACAAAAAAGAAGATCTACAGTAACTAAATAAACACTTTCATCTAATTTAGTTTGATTTTCCTTTTGTTTTTTTGTTCCCAGAAGAAAGGTTTAGCCATCAAGAGAAAATGTACACTGGTTTTTTATAATCCATATTCCTTATATAGGAATGAGATAATTTGGAATATTAAAGGTTAATTATTAATTATCTGTGAATGCATAATTCAGCTTTCAGTTCACCTAAGTTTGGAAAACCACTCTTACTGGTTAATACCATCTGTAAGATTTCATCAATAATGACTTACTGTCCCCTTAACTCAATTTGCCTACAGAACAAGCCATTGAAACCTAACTGGTTAGCCACCATGGCCCATCTAGGAAAGGAAGAATTATGCCAGGATCTGAAATATGAGTGAATTATTCTCATTATATGATAGATCATAAGGCAATTAGAGTAGAAATAAGAAATGAGAGAGTTTGGCTATTCTTCCAGAGTAACACCTCTATGATTTGGCCTTATGTTTGTTGATGAATTTTGAGACCATCAGACTCACCAATATTCAAATGCAAGTGAAAAATTAAAAAACTAAGTCTGTAGCTGTTCTAGAAAAATCTTCGTTTATTTGCCACCTCGCTTTGTCTCTTTATATTAACTTTCGTGTTGAATATGAACAGATGAGAATTAACCAAATTTCTAAAATCTTATCTTTTAGCTACATAAATGTAATGAAAATCAAAAGGGACTTTATGTCTCTTAACTGAAGCAAAATCTGGAGACCTGCTATTTTTGTATATCTAGCAGGAAATATCGGAGACTGAGATGAGGTGTAATAATATCACTTGGTATTTGAATCATACACTGAAGAGTTGAGTGTGTGTGTGTGTGTGCGCGTGTGTGTGTGTTGTGCATTTATGTATTTTTCAGGCAAAGAGGAACAGTATTTTCAAATAATTAGCAGACAGAGGTACTCTAAGAACAATTAAGGGGGTATTAATTATAATGACAGAGGTTATCACGTAGTGTAAGTTATAGAGGAGAATTAATTTCAAAACCCCTACAGGATGTAAATTATATGTTTGGAAATGTTTATGGCAAATTAGGTACTTGATTAATTATTGATGCTCTGGGGCATTCCTATCTCTTACACAACTTCACCACATAGACAATCAAGGTTAATGCTCTGCCGTTATTGTCTCCTAATTGAATTAGTAGTGAGAGAGGAGAAATCAGACAGTGCTTCAAGGATATAGATTAATCCCTTTTACTACCTTGCCAAGTCATTTCAGGCAGGTCTGAAATGTGTGTGCTGCTGAAAATCCACATGCTGCATTGATGCAAAAGAGGTTGTACCACCTTGAGCATGGAGAACGCATATGGTGGTCCATCCTGACCAAACATAGAGTCTCTTCATAAAATATCAGACCCTTTCCAAAGCCTAAAAAGCAGGTTAGACAGCTCTAATTCCTGAGTATTTCTGATGGCAGATGATTTTAACTCAGCTAATTTCCCCCAAGCATCAGTCCCCCTGAAATGTCCTTCTGCAGGATTCCCTAGAACTATTTTCCAAAAACCCACATGAACTGCTGTGATTAACTGAGCCACTGGACACTATTCAAGCAATTGCTCAGGACTTACTTGGGCATCCATCCCACATGCACTCTTGCCATTCTGTGCTTCTGCCTTATATGACATCAATTATTAGGTTTTTAATAACATATCAGAATGAGACATAAAAATACAAAATGCCCCACACATGCCTTCAGATTTTTAAGGGTCTCTTTCCATGATGGTGGGAGAGGAAATCTAAAGAATGATCTCCCACAGTCCCTGGAGTAAGGAAAGTGAGTTATTATTGCTTTGGATAGCTTTTGAAGTTGACGCGAGTGTGATTATGTTGCTTTTGAACCACTTGAGTGGAAAATAATGTGATGATCTAGAGGGTAAATACCAGGACTCGAAAAGATGAATGGGAGTGAGGGGTTTCAGTGTTGACATCAGGGTGCAGTGGAAGGGAAGTGTGAGTCTTCCTGACTGGACAAAGAGAGCCAGGTTTGTGCCCCCCCTAAAGGAGATATGCAGATATGTTATCTAAGTGCTTGCCATTGGTGTGTGTGTGTGTGTGTGTGTGTGTGTGTGTGTGTACTTTATATCTGAGCCCCACAAAGAGGCCACTGCTCCTATTTAAACCCTCTCTCCTAGACAAAAACCCACACTCACTCAAGTGCACATATTAGTTACACAAGCTGGAGAATGTGGAGGAAGTACTGTCTTCCGTTCTGGGGCAGGAAATTACTGCTTTAACACAGTAATGCAACGAGGGGTTGCATTACTTCTGGTGTGTCAGGCCTGGCCACTCTTGAACCTAACCGCCCTAATGTCTCCTTTCCTCCCTTCTTCACGCCCCGCCGCCCATCCCCAGTTGCCATGTACCGAGAACCATCTTTGCACGACGTGGGAGAAACGGTCCCGAAGGCTGGGGTGACGCCAAGTAAAAGCACAAGTGCGTCGGCAATAATGAATGGAGGCAAACCAGTCAACAAAAGTAAGACAACATAGCCAGATCCTCACAGGTGTTGTGACTTATTCGTCCTGAGCACAGTTGAGTGATTTATCCTTGCCAGACATTCCTGCTCCCGCGGCTGAGGAGCGGCCGGAAGTAAGCCAATGCTTGCTCTTTGCTGTCTCGAACTTCTTGATTGCAAGTGGATAAATCTTCAACCTGTTGCACCCCCAGAACAAGAAGACACCTGGACAACCAGCTCAACTCAGACCATGGAATGCCCTACCAGATATGGAATGCCTTTTTAATATCTTTTCTGTGACTGTGACACTTCATGTGAATGACATACTTCACAAGTACACTCGATACCTTGCCTGCTGACAGCTACCCATAATCCTTTTTGAGTCCTGTTTCAGCGAAATCCATGTGTTTAAGTTCAATTTTGTAGCACACAAATACTATTGAGTAATTTCTAGTTAGACGCTGTAAACCTGTGCTATTATGGATTTCTCTTCCCCCCGTTTTTACAGGGCTGCCCGCTCCACTGTCCGTGACCTTTTGCGGGGATTGTATTCCTCTAAATCTTAAATGTTGCAGTTGGCTTAGTTCGGAGAGCGATCAGGGAATCAGGAAGCCTTCTCAACCTATTAGTACAAATTGCATCTATAAAGATTAAGAGTGTTGTCTCCGGCTCCCACTCTCAATTAAACACACATATATGCTCTGTCCAGTAGCAGATACTGTGCTCCTCTGGTCGGCGTGGCCGGGGTGAGAAATGGGTCAAACACAGTCCAGGGGAAGCTCTCTAAAGATATGTGTTTGACACCCCCCTATAGTTCCTTTGTGTGTGTGTGTGTTTTATACATATCACAAGCTTACTGGTTAATGGTAACATTTGCCTTGCCCAGCGAGCAAGACCCACTGGTTTTTGAGAAAGTGGGTCCAAAGAACTCTGTAGGCCTTGTAGGCCTGATTAAGGTTCATTTTTTCATCTACTAATCCTCATTATTTGGGAAAAAAAAAAGAAAAAAAAAGAAAATTCAATAATTACAACCTACAAGAATTGCGCTACCTAAATCCATTTCAGATATAATCCTACCTGTTTTTAATGAACCGAACTGAATGCCATCCCCAGTTTTGGCTGCGTTCCACTCATACTCAGCAGAGCATGGGCAAGGCGGCTGTTGTGTTCTTTTTCTGCAGCAGCAATGCAAACGTTAGTTATAAATTAGACTTTAATATTTTTGGTGTTTAATGACAAGTTTTTAAAACTGGACATATTATTAGGAAAAAATATTTTTTTTAGCTCAGCATGCTGAGTCAGGTACTGTGTATTTCGCCACTCCAAACCTGTAACTCAGCTTCTTGGGGCCCCAGTTGCCCAGTGGCTGGGGTAGAGGTGCCTTGCCATGATCTCAGAATGCAGTCTGTTGAACTATTCTGGATAAAATTCAAGGCAAACCAACACGTTCACACATCAGGTTTTCGCTCCATTCAGTTGATTTGCATTTGTTTTATCTTGCTTTCTTAATTTCCTTTTGCATAATTCTGAGCTTAGGGAAGACAACTGCTAAGAAAGGCCATGAATATAGTTGACGGCACAAGGAAGAAACCAAGCAAAACGTTCGGTATTGGATATAAAGAGTTTCAAAATGTCTGATACGAAACTGTTTGGAAATATATTTGTTAGCTCTGTGTATACTTAATAAAATTCAATGTTTTCTCCTCCGAAGAGTTAACTGAGACCAAACTGAACCTCATTTATAGAAAACTCTATGTGGGATTATGTACTGGCCTCTTGTTATTATTTCCACGTGGAAGGCTGACCCAGTCGCCATTTCCCCCCATCTGCACTGTATTTTCTTGGAAATTATTTTGTCACTGCTTTCCTAAGTCTCCATGACAGCCCTTGCCCGGCATTTAAAAATTTTGGCCTGCTTAGCTGATTAAAGATTTAGTATAAATTTAACTGTTTATGCTTACTTCATTTTCATATTGGATTTCATTTTAATAAATAAAAAGTTAGCATAACGTTTGGGTAGATTTATTGTCAATAATGCTAAAGTACGAACATAACAAAATCATTCCTTTGACCATTCTTGATTTCCTGTTACACCATCTTAAGGCCTATCGTTTTCAACAGGATGAGTTAAAATATGTTAGATGAGTTTCATGAACCAACTATTTAGGGAAGACATATATGCTATAATATGTGGCAAACTATGAATTATTTAACTTGACATTCCAATTAGATGGGCTTATACACACCGCTCGCCCCAACTCACACACACACACACACACACACACACACCAAACAACCCCACCTATTTGTTTTTGGTAATCAGCCCTACTTGCTGGTTTTTTCCCACTGCAAGCCTGTTAATTGGTTAAAATTAAGACAAGATTTATTTTTGTAAATGACTGAGACTTATGTAAATGTGCATCTCTGTTTTGTTTTTTATATGAGTTGTCTCTAAGGGCATTTATCCCTATGAATGGATGTCAAATACTTTCTTCTAATATATGTTTAGACATATTGCAGACGGGTCCTTGTTATTTGTAAATTAGACCGTTTCCTCTGTGTCTGGTCTCACCTGTTGCATGGGACAAGGACAGCACTGGTGAACTGCATGTAGTAGGACCTACGTATCAAGAACTGTGGTATGTATTATTCAATTTACATACAAAGAGTTTGTCTGCATTGTACAGTTTCTGTGTTTAATACCATTTGTTGTATTCACACATACAACATACTGAATAAAATATTGATATGAAGGCATATTACAAAACATCAAACAACTTTATGTAACAAAATGGCATCGCTTCACCCACAAGTATAGAGAAATATCATGTAAATAAGTTGGTACACTCAATTTCCCCCTTTACCATGCCAAAGAAAATTTTAGCTCTTTGATGATACCTCTCTTGCTATTTTTCTGGGATAAGACTCCACCAGTTTTCCCCTCAAAAATTAAGTTTGCTGTTATTAAGTAAGTGCAGTCTGTCATTATCAATGTTCTGTATAGTAAATCCGATGGAATTCATTTGTATCTACAGACTGTGTGTTTTGTACCTCCATGTACATATGTCAATTGCATCGAGTCTCTCTAATGTCACATTCCTTTTGCATGCATATCTGGTAGGGGAGGGTTATTTCTACTGATCTGTTATGGTAGCTGATGGCTTCACCCATCCCTCAGCAATGCTCGGGAATGTTAATTGTTTTGATATTCCAGGTGACACCGGTTTTATTTTAAGTTTGCTTTCTACAATGTTTTGCTACCACCTTACTTGGAAAAACTGCAGAAGCGATGCAGGTGGTGCACCCTATGTAAAGAGTAAAATGGTACCGAGCACCATGTCCTTACAAATCCTGCAGACGTTAGAGATCCTTGCTCTAAATGGGTGCTCGCCCGGAGGGTTTTGGGGTAGGAGGTGGCGTTAGGAGCTCCACACGGGGCCTGCGAGACTCCTGCTGCAGTCCTTCTCATTATTTACCTCCTGGTGAATCCTTCTCGTTATTTACCTCCTGGAGAGTGAGCAGAGTAGTTTTAGCACACCTGCCCAGTTGCTCAATTAATGCCTAAAGCATTAAAAACAGTCAGATGTTTTCGAGATGACCAATGTTAGATTTGGTTTTCTTTTACAAACCAAACCAAAACAAACAATGAAAACTTCTTGTTCCTGAAGTTAGAACGTGCGTATTGCTTCACTTAAGGTTTTAGTCCTAATATTACAGAGAGAACTAATGCTTCAGGGAGAGACCAGATTGACTAAGAGTTCCGTTTTAGAAAGAAAGAAAATAATTGAAAACTATTTCCAATTTTATTTCAGAACAAGACTATTTCCAGGGAAAGCAATTGGCTAAATGCCAATATACCAACATCCAGATGAGAACTGTATCACTTTGGAGAAAAATACAATTCCCAGCTTAAGTTTTTTAGCTTACAAGGGGATTACACAGGGCCCATGGACCCTTGGATACTGAGTAGGGCTTCAAAGTTTTGACAGTCTGCAAACAAAGGCTGAGTTGTGATTTGTTTTGATTTGTTCTCAGTTTTCTGTATCATTCGGTCTAATCCCAATGTTTGCTGGCAGAGATTGTGTTTGTATTTGACGTGGTGGAGGCCATTCCTTTCAAGGTGCCGCAGGCATTTGGATTAGCTGAAGGGTGCAGGGAGAAAATGGGGTAAAATGTCCTCTTGGGTCTTAGGACCCAATTCGAATTATATTGAAAAGTCCTTGGGGAAGAATTCCTCGGTGATGGTTTGCCAACAAGCATGGCGCGTGCCAACAGCAGCAGCAAACGTGTCCTGTCACATCCCTTCCCAGCTGACGTTAATCTCCCTGTCACAGGAACTCGAACAAGCCGAAGAGATTCGCACATTTCCCCTTTCACCTGTTACAAGTTGGTTCCTGCCCTGCCTTTGTTTGAAAGAGGGAGTTTTTATCTTAGTAACAGGATTGAAAGTCAAAATACAAAATCACATTGAAGAAGGGTAGGATTTACGTCTTTACATGTAACTATATTTTATTTTTTCCAATTTAAACATGTAAATTAAATAACTTCTTATCTATTGATGTTTGCATTGCTAGAGTCAAAATCACATACACACATATGAAATATAGCAGACAGAAAGAAGTAAAAAGAAAATATTTCTGTTTTAAAAGAAAAATATTCCTTAGAGATTAGGTACCATGTGACTTAGGCTATCACTCAGTTTTGGTTCAATAATTTGTAGCTAAATGAACCCGGAATATAGCTGACTGTATTTCCAGCCTTGTCAAAAAATTTGGACAAATCACATTTCAATCTTCATAGTATAATAATTTCTCCATATTGAAACCTTTTCTCAAAAAAAAAAAAAAAACCCATACATGCTGAGGACATTTTCCTTATATGAAAACATAAAAATTGAAGCCCTTTCATTTTAGTTAATACAAAGGGATAACAAACAGAGGGAGTTAGGAGAAAACTAAGATGCACCCAGGAATACAGGATAAGACAAAGGGAATGAATTAAGGGCATCTCCAGTAGAACATGGCTGGCAAACTACTTACTGCTCAGCTGGGAGCCACATCCAACATGCAGTCTGTTTTTGTATGGCCCAGGAGCTCAGAATGAGTGTTCTGTTTTTCCTTTTATAGTTCTAAAGTGTTAAAAACAAACAAACAGAGAAGAACACGCAACAGAGAGGTCAGTGGCCCACAGAATCTAAAGTATTGACTAACTGGTCCTTTATGGAAAGCAGAGTTCTGCAGTGTGGGAAGCTGCATGATGTAGTGAATTCTGATGATTGCACATCGTCCGGTCATCAAAACTGCTACTGAATAATTACAATATGTTTGTTTGAGGCTAAAAATGATTAGATAGAGAGGAGGAAAGAATATCATCTATATGATTTCTGAACTGCTTATATTTCCCTTGTTTTACAAAACTGATATATCAACGGACATACTCAATAATAGAGATACAACTAATATGGTTGCACTTCCATCATCTCAGGATAGAGATAACAATTTTATAAATCTATTAAAGTATGAGAACACTATTAGTACTATCGAAGTCAGCATCAGATAAATTTTCTCTTAAATAACTTTCAATGTTAAATTTTTAAGTAACTCGGCAAATGCATATTTTCCTTATTTTTTGGTGATTTGACTTAATAAAGTCCAAGCCATGACTCTAGGATATTTACATCATCAAGTAAAATTTCCAAGTAAAAATTTTCATCTTAATGCGGAAATGATTTTGTTACATTACTCTAGGATTTTACAAAATATAATTCACATTTAGAAAAAAAAGTGGGTTTTTTTAGCTCCAAATAATTAAAGGTTGCCTAAACTAATGTGTGTAAGTAGACTTAACTGTAAATATGTAAGGGAAGTCCTAATTATTGTACATTTTCATAATTCAATGTGAATTTCATACAGAGCAAAATTTCACCATTAAGAAAATAAACATTTTGTTCCTATTGCTGAGTGAATATTTGTAATTTCTACTTAAGACATTTCTAGATTTTTTTTTTTTATCTTCTGAGCTTTGAGACTGGTGCCATTTGATCACAGTATCTCTTCTTGACTTCTTTGCATGATGCTTTTTCAGTAAATAATGTATGCTTAGAAATAAGAATATTTTAAGGGAAATGAATGCATATTTCAGGCCCATCCTATGTCCAATTAAATATTCTTTCTAAAAGGCAAGTTACCATGGCACAATTTACAATAGTGAGAAATCAAATTCCTTTTACACCTAACCCCACCCTGCCCAGTTTACAAAATGATCTAGTAACAGAAGGTGCCCCTGAATACCAATTCATTTTTTTGTTGTTGTTAATCATCAGTAGGTAAATATATATTGACACAGATTGTAAGCAACTTAACGTCACTATTTATTAAAAATGTTAAATTGTACACTTTTCATACTTCCTTCATAAGGGAATCTTCTTTTGTGAATTTAAAGTGAGATCAGATGCATAACTTACTGGCTCAACCTGACCAGTCTTTTTCTTTAAAAAGCACTGGTGATCCAGCCTTTAGCCCCCCCGACACTAGCCCTTGTGCCCGTTTGTCTTTACTGACTCCAAATGGAAATGCTGAGTGATAAGGAATCTGAAAAAATATGATGGATGGATTTATGTGAGGATACATCTTTTCCTTAGATTCAAATGTGGTTTTTTTTGTGACCACTTTTTTTGTGGCCTTTGTAACAACCATGTAATTCAGTGTTTCTCAACTCCGGCACTATTGACATTTGGAGTCAGAGAACTTTTTGTCATGGGGCTGTCCTGTGCCCCGTGGGATGTTCGTAGAAGCATCTGTGTCCTCCATGCACTAGAGGCCGGTAGCATGCCCTGCCAGCCCACCCAGTGTGACAATCGAAATTATCTGCAGACGTCACCAAATGTTTTCTGGGGTGGCAGAGTCACCCTTGTTGAGAACCACAGGTGTAAATTCTGGAGGAAAAATTCTTTCTGGCCTTATTTACATCAGATTTTTGCCTAACTTGTTTTTTAATGGGTGCCCAGCCTTCACTCAGGCATTCAGAAATAGAAAAACATGCAATAGTCTATTTGACCTGTCCTAGTGGTGATTATACATGGTTTCCTTTGCGTTTATGTGTCCTAATGGTCTACAAACATAAGAATGCAGTCCTGTCCCACGGGGTCGTTAAGGATAGTCTGTGCCGAGCCAGATCTCACACGCATTTCCATTCCATCCGCGCCAGCATTCACAATTTCCACAGCTACATATTCCATTCCCTGCAATAAAATACACGGGGCAGGGGGTCATCATCATGACCGAAAGGCACCAAGTTCGAGTGTGTTACTATAAACCATGCACCAAGTTCAAGTATGTTACTATAAACCATAACCGTTCCTAACCAAAACAATTTCATTCATCCTCTGCAGATTTTACTGCATGGCCATGTTGCTATTAACTTATTAAACAGCTATGGGACCTCTGATCCTTCAAACGATTAACAGCACCTACTTGGTAGCACCAACTATGCAGTATCCATTCAGCAGTGACCATCTTGTATCACTCCAGCTGAACTGTCTCTACGTCCCCACTTCGCTTTTAACTTATCTAGCACACATATCTAACCATCTATCAGGACTTGGTAATTGGGACAGCAGTATCTACCACACACACAGCACCGTGGGGTGGGGGGCCGTTTGTCTTTCTCACAAACCGGGAATGTGGAGCAAACCAAGCAGGTCACACTGCACCTGTGCAAATGAGGCCGTCGTGCTTGTCACAGTCCCTGTCGTCACAGTCACAGAGCTCTCCAGAAATGTACCACTCTTCAGCAGAGCAGATGCACTTCCCACAGTGGCAAGAACCTGAAATCACAAAGGGCATCATCACTAAGCGTTTCTGACTAGAATAGAACATTGGCAACACACGGACAACGGGCTTCTAATAACCCACCTTCCAAAGGTAAAAGTTTATCGAAGAGCCTGTTGCTCAGAGGGGAGCTTTACTTACCGTCATTCATAAAGGTCATCCGGGAAAGGCTTCATTATGGATCTAGACAGTTGCAATTAGCCTTGAGCAAATGTTCCATGGCCTGGGCTGGTTGAAATGTCAATAAGAGCAGAATGTGCTGATTCTTAGAGATGGCCTTCCGTAAAGGTGTTCAAAAATAGATGATTTTTTCCCTCTTTTCTTCTTTTTTTCCCCCCTTAATTGAATCATGTTTTAAAAGTGTCTGCTCTTCAAAGGAACTGAATGCTAAGGTCCATTAAATAAGGATGCATTTTATAATTAAAAGTACCACTAAATTATTGTGCTGTTCCTTTTGGATTTTTGCCTGCATGCTTTTCTTAGGGTGGCTCGTAAAAGTGCTGCACAGGGTGGCTCATAAAAGTGCTCAAAACGTACACACGCTCACTTGTGTTCATGTGACTTATCGGATCTCACCCTCGGGGCCTCCCACCATGATCGAGGAGACATATGATCCTCCCAGAATGTTCATCTCCTCCGAGGCTCTGGGTCTAACCAACTTTCTCATTACTTCACCCATTTCCCCTTTGTCCTTCCTCCCTAATGAAAAACATACTCTTCTGTTATTAAAACTATTTTGACCTACTGGAAAATAATTTTATGAACGGTTATTTAAAAGAAAAGAATATACATGAATTAAATGATGTCACAAAGAGAAGAAAGCTCTCTTGGTCTGCACGTCTTTACACGACAGGCTAAAAAACCCTCACACAGCAAAATTACTTCCATAGCAGCAGTAAAGAACTTTAAAATTAAAACAGAAGCACATATAAAAAGGACCTCCCCAGGGCGCCTGGGTGGCTCAGTCGGTTGAGCGGCCGACTTCGGCTCAGGTCACGATCTCGCGGTCCGTGAGTTCGAGCCCCGCGTCGGGCTCTGTGCTGACAGTTCAGAGCCTGGAGCCCGTTTCAGATTCTGTGTCTCCCTCTCTCTCTGACCCTCCCCTGTTCATGCTCTGTCTCTCTCTGTCTCAAAAATAAATAAACGTTAAAAAAAAAAATTAAAAAAAAAAAAAAGGACCTTCCCTTTTCTTCTGTTTCCTTGGATTGGTTTTTCTTTCCCAGTGTGATTTCCTTTTACTAAATGAAGGGTATCACTAAATTTTTCAGATCAAAAATCAACTTAGGAAAATGTGAAGGAGAAGAAGTATTTTGACATATTTAACAAAATTCCATATTGCTCAGTTCAAAATGTACTGGGACCAATCACGAATTAGTGCCTCCGTGAAACATTAGTGATTGCAAAATGAGTTAGCAAGCTGGAGGATAAAGCGGTTACAGAAAAGAATTTGCATTTGTCACAGATATCATCAAAAGATTTGTATAAACGTGTCCCAGGCCTTAGGCACTTTGTGATATTTCACGTGGAAACTGGCATATGCATTTAGCTACAAGAATCCCCAATGGCCAAATTAAATGTGTGACATTCCCTGTCACACTTCTCAAGGTAAGGGAGTAGTCAGAATTAGTGATACGCTGACAACTGTGTTTACACTGATTAACTTCTTGCCTAACCACAGCATGATTTCATTTAGTCTAGACTGTTTTCCTGAGGGTCTGGGTTGATCTACACAGTCTTCAGTACAATCCAGACAACTGTCACTTCTGATGAGTGACTGGCAGACTGCTGCCAGTCACTGAGCCTGCTGGTCCGTCTGTGAGGGAGGGTGGCTCCTTCCTGGTCATGTCAAGGTACAGTGTTTCCTTACTTTAGAAATCTATTTATCTTCATTTTAAAGACTTTTTTCAATTTTCTTAGGCACGGAAATGTTCAACATTCGACTGCTCATTTAGCACATGGTTAGCGATCTATCTGCAACAAAGAAAACTTGGGGTATGCCATTGACTTTTCATTGAAATTT